GATAGTCTGCTCGTCAACTCACGTTGATCCGCTGAAAACACTGTTCGGTAACATGTGGAGTACTGAAATTTTTCGCAAACATTGGATCTCATCGATTCTGTATTCCCAAAGGATGTTAAAATCATCTACGCGAACTCAACGGGTATCAGCCCCATTGACATTACGGTCGTGGTTTTTATCACTGGTCCTGTTCAACCGATTTGTTGTTACTGAGGATGATACAAGAACTCGTTCAAGCGCAATGTGGTTTTCACTGAGGGAGCTGGGTTGCATCGATCAGACCTTCGTGCTGCAATGATTTCCAGAACTTGGCCACTAATTCAAACATCCGGCATTAGCTTACTTCATTGGTTTTTAGCGTTGCTTTTGACTCCGTCAATAGACAGTCCCTTTGCAGCTTTCATACTGACGGGATGCCCGAAAAGTACATGAGGCTGGTAAGCTAGTATTGCTGTGCAATGCGAGCGAGCGTTTGCGTCTACAGGAAAGAGTCGACGGAACTTCCGCTACTTTTTGAGTGTCCGTCATGACTGCCTCTTGTTCCCAATTCTATTCAACTGCGCGAAAGACTGACTAATGCTTCGCGTTTTTTGAGAAATTCAAATCAGTTCCGAAACTTGAATTGCTAACTTCAAACGTGCCGACTAAATGATCATTTTAGGAGACAATCTCGACGGTCAATGTTTGCGATGTTTGCTTGACCATATTGAATGTAAAACCAAGGCCGTCGGTTTCGAAAACGAAATTTTCCACGAACGAAATTTCCATACCTCACCTTCGACAATAGTGTAACCTATGACCTACGATTCAGTTGGGATCCGTGGTAGAAATGTAATCTAATTTCATGTTGACTGCGTGAGGGGGCGGGTTGTCCTATAACTTCCGAACCCATATAGCTGCACAGCAAAATAGGCGTCAACACGAATCTGCGCGTTTCCCGAGCTGCCGTTCAACTCGTCCTTACACACGCTTATGAAACATAGTCACTGAAGGTAGATGGCTCAAACAAATACTGAGAAGCTTCGACCACTAGTGCATGTGCTATATGGCTGTGACGATTTTTCACACATTTTGCCGTACGTCAGTGTTGTGGGGATATAGGGAAAAGCCTTGTTTCTCCTCTGGCGTCTTCTTCAGTGGGTCTGTCATGTCATCTGTCGATCAGAAAGGGACGTTACAACGAAAAGTCTATCGTCGACTCCTTGTCCCAACCCGGAAGGTCACCTCGGAAAGCAGCTGAAGGTAGGAGTTAGTACAATCAAAACGGATTTAGATAGCCTAGTTCACCGGGTTATTTTCGGGGTGCGTGACTGACGCAAAAACTAGATTCCCCCTGATGTATCGATCTTGCCGCAGATGGCAACACATGGATCGCTGCAATTGGAGACTTCCTGGAAGACGATTCATCCTCGCGCAGGAGAAGGCCGCAACATAGTAAAAGTAACATGTAAGTGCACAGCGGTTAGTTGAGTGGGTCTACTAAAATTGATTCTGGATTGTCAACAAATTTGTCGATAATGTTTGTCCCCTGATCATTATTTGGCCTCGAAGAGAAAAGCTTGAAAAAAGCCTTAGTGTATTGGTGCTCAAAAGCATGCGATCAAACAGTCAGACTTGTCGTCAGTTGCCAACGGAGCACTAAGCAGTTTCTCACTTCTCGGTTTTATTAGTTGTTTCCACAAAATATTGCCGTTTTTTTGGAGTCGTTCTAAGTCAACTATTTCTTTCCCATCGTGTCTGCAACGCTTGTAAAACTCTAACCGGACAGGCAAAAAAATGGGGGTACACATCCACTCATCCGATGCAAACACTCGAGACCGTTTGCTTTTGGCAACCACAGCCCAGCTGCCTGATACTCCCTATCCAGTCACGTGTTGTCTACGGACAGTCAGTCAACTTTCCTAATATGGAAACTGAACCTGGCTTGTATTGGCTGCCCGTTCTGGCAACGCGTTCTATATTGGGTAACCTGTTCGCGGGGGCGGTCCGGATAGATATGCGTTTGTTCAGTCCATGACTAAACACTATGGTTGGCAGAACGAATCAGGAGATTTCGAAGCTCATGCTGACATCAGTTGTTTAGCTGTCAGAATGGAACCGCATCGGAAAATTCCGTAATGGAACAAAACATTTAACTTTATATACGCGTACGTTGGAATAGTTTTATGTTTGGCATCTAACTGGTTCGCTGCCTCTAGCCATTTTCCGATAAAGCAGCAGATTCGTTCCTTTACACACTTCTCAACGGACTCCATCGGATTCGTAACGAATTCCCTGACTCGCACATACTTCCGTCATTATGATGATTTTTTGTTTCGGGTATCATTTGTATGTAACCCAACCCCGCCACTCCGACCACATGGCTCGTTGATCTGTCTCATTCTGTTATTGGGAGGGCCTATTTCCGCACACACACACACACACACACACACACACATATATATATATATATATATATATATATATATATATATATATAACTGTTATTATTAGTGCGTGGTTTGAACAAAGCTCTGATCGATTCACACCACCTATCCGTCCGCCCCACTGATCAGCGCGCAGAACATCAGGCACACTGGCATTGAAAACCGTACAGAACGGAACATGCGTTCTCTTCACGTGTCAATTTATCTTGGTTATTCTGATGCGAGACTTTCTCAATCAACCATTCCGATTTTATTGGTGCATGTATTTCGAAGTTGTTTGTTTATTTTTGCAAGCGCACGCGGATGTGATTGTGTACGTGGCACTGGTTGCGGTTGATTCGGAAAGTGCCAGAGTTTAATTCAGTAGATGTTTTGCAATATGCCATTCTGGGATGTCCCCCGGTTAGGTGTGTATGTGTCAGTCAATCGATTGATCGCTGTAAAAACAAACAAATCTCATGATTGTACCACGATCCCTAATCATCCAAATGGGCGGCCAAAAGACAGCAACCAATACCGGCGCACGATAGTGCATGGTTAATGGTTGTAGCAACTGAAACTGAAACTGAATCAGCATTCATTTTGTTGCCCGGACAAGTTTTCCTATCGAAGCGCGTCAAAGTTGTGCAAAAATCTTCTGCCGTTCCGCCCCCCCCCCTGTGATTTTAATACTACTGTGTTGCTATAAGCGGCGGCTCACGGGTTTCGAGTTGTTCACTAGTGGTACCTGTGGTTGACGCTGAACCTCGATTAGAGCTGTTTTTCGAACAAAATCGTGAGAGAAACAAAGTGAGGAGTGAATTACAGTAATAATGCTGTGGCCGTACCATTATGGGTCATTGCTGGTCTTCCTACTGAAGTTGTTCTCATGCTACATAAATAGATATAGATGCTACATTACCATACTTGACTGATAACCATCAGACTGATCTCACTGAAATCACAACTCCTGTCTGTCATTTATACTAAAATTTTATCAGAGAAATATCGGGTGGATTTTGCCCTCATTGTAAATACATTGATCACATCGTTCCTCTCTTAAAAGCGCTGTCAATTGGTGCTCAGTGTTTGGGATTTTCCTCGAGATCCGGTCAGTAGTTGATTTTGTTGATCATGTGGGTGGTTTTTTGTAACAGATACTCCCGTTTGTGCCACTGTTTGGGAGAGAATATACAAGCACAAGTCATCATCGTCCTTGTACCTTCATTTATAACAAGACTGAATCGTATTGCCCAGCGCACAATCAGTAAATTGATAATTTAGATAGGAATAATCGGGTAAACTGGTAAAAGGTGATAAGGATGCTGAGAAGAGCGTTATTACGGCGAATACGCGGGAAATAGCTTTGGACGTTCTGTTTGCCACAAGGTTTCAGTTCAGTCTCAGTTTGAACAACCACAAGGTATGGGAAATAATACCTCTGGTATTCATCCACAATCAAAATGCTGAACTGAGAAATTGTCTCTTACAATAATGAAGCCTGTACAGGCGAAATCAAGTAGAGAAGACGCAGAGTAGTTGCGTTCTCATGAACGACATGGTATTTGTGATCAAACGATGCAGTATTTTTCTCATGTGTTTTTCAGCACATATGGAATCTACTACTCGGCTACTGTTCCTGAATGTCACGAAAAACCGAACACTTTCAATCTGTGAGCGCACTAAAATACTACTGACATACAACGCAAGTAGTGCGTTACTAAATGACAACGATTCTTCCATATCCTGCGTTGCATCTGAACGAATGTTAGCGAAATTCGCTCGAACCGAATCTAATAGACCAAAAGTGTAGACACCTGATCGCGATAGTATGCTTGACACCATTTGGTATATGTCATTTCTAACTTCTAAAACTATCTGTTAGTACATTGTTTTCTGACATGTATATACTTCACACTTGTCTGAAGTCACACTGTGTGCCAAGCAAGTCATGATACGATAATCTTTATTGAAAAGAAAAACGTTCCATAATTAGCTTGTGGCCTAAATACTGCCAGGTTGCCCAGGCCAAGGCAGGTCAATTTTCCTGAGGAATCCACAACCAGAACCTTCGGCTAGCCAAAGCCTGACCCAAAAGGCAGCGAGGCGGTGTGTGAAAACCGCAATCCATTGGGTGCCGGTGTCCAGTTCATCAGATCATACGCCCCGTTGAACGGGGTCAAACGTCCAAGGTGCCCAATACCCTTGGATACCCAATCGAGCCGGTGACCATTGCCACAACCAGGAAGTTGTGTGTGTGGTTGGTACGCCTCTTCTTGGTTGGTTGGTTTGGAATCAGGGTTTTTGGTCAACTCCCCTAAGTGAAATACCAGTGATCCACCAACCCGGTTATAGCTCCGGATATCGGCTTTTGGTCGTCTCACTTTGGTAGGAAACACCACCTCACGAGAAGGCAGTGAGTAGGGCTTTCTCAGCGGGGGCTGTTTGAGACACTTGATCCTATGGGAGCATTTCGCGAGGGTGACCAGCCGCAACCCTAGACACCAACCTCCGACCATATTGAGGCTTTTGGAGGCTTCTGATTTGTCAAATCTATGTAAACGAAAAATTTCATTTTTCCTGTTTCCCTACTAGTTCCTGTGTTATGCTGGTACAGTTTATAGCCGTTACGATCTGCAATGCATTGTCTGCCTGTTATCACCGCGCTTCTCTGACCGATTGCATTCCGATTTCCTATTCCAGGGACTCCCTGAAGCATGGCGAGCGCTACTGGTGGCATCCAATATTTCTCGGGTGGAGCAGGAGAGGAATCCGGAACTTCTGCTGGGCGTGCTCCAGTGCTTCGACGAATCGGCGAAACAGAAAGACAAATATATGACCAATATTTCCGTTGTAACAAGTCAGTATATCTCTTTAGGGCACACATTTTTGGTACCATTCTGTGTAGTATTTGTGGACGCATATCGGATGTTTTCTTTATTATACATCACTGTGATACACAGCAGACGGGATGGAACCCCATAGTCATGAAGACCCGCTGTTTAGTGATTTTAACCTGCAATCTAAGCCACGGGACTTGGAGTGGCGAACTACATAAGGCCCCGCTAGTTCGGACGTTTCAGTCCTATCCACTGATAATATTTCCAACACCGGTTTGTAGACAAGCATGGTGCCAACACCACAACAAGAATAACGATAACTATAACAGGAGCAGGTGGATTGGGATACAGAAAAAAGTTGAAAGAGGGTGAAACAATTAAACACTGGAAAATGGTAGATAGCTGGGATAATAAAATTTCTTTTTAGGTGTTTCTCCGTACACCTTTTGATATTGTGTGTTGTTGTTTTTACGGGGCACGGAATTTCGACAGGCAGATCTTACAGCATTCGCGCCACTGACTACTATTTTGGGACATGGCTCTCAGAGTCTCGAACCAACGAAAAATCCTCATCCCTTGGGCCCCAACCTGGAAGGCGGGGTGCACCAACCGAAGCCGGAGCTGAAGCCAGCTTCTTCATACCTGTGCGCCATGTCATGGTCTGATCGCCGCAGCGCTTCTTCCAAGCTTGCCCAGCACGTGTAAAGATTGCAAGGAAGAGTGGTCGATGGACAGGCATACGCAATACGTGACAAAGCCATCGGAGGCGGTGTAGAGCGACTACTTCTGTTAGAGAACGACTATCCGCACTCAAAATGCACGACAACAAACCTTGTCATTGCTCACCGGATGTTCCCACTAGACACGAGCAATGCTTCGCAAGTATCGGTGATCGAATACCGAAAGTTGATTAGCATCGTCCGCTCGGAGAGGCCAGGTCTCGTAACCGTAAAACAGAACACTACGAACTGCGGCCATGTGCACACCCTTCCCTTAGAGGGACAGTCGGATGTCCGATTCTCATCCATTCTCGATCGTGGAAATTTCCCGGTGGTGATTAACTCACTGATACCTTGGTTAGAGTCTGATTGCTCTATTGATAATCAGGGCGTTCGACTATTTCAAACCAATTCACGAGTGACCTCACATTTCACTTACAAATTACATTGGAAATTCGTTTGCAACCACAGTTATCACGTTTGTTCGCTTGTATGGACAATTGCAAAACTGGAGTATACTTGTAAACATTGAGATTAGATGACAAAACTCGTCAATTTCGTTTCTTCTAAATGCAATCAACAAATAAGTGTTTTGTTTTAGGTTGAATTCGCTCGGACGTTTTGTTTTCTTCCATTTGCTACACCTACATACATATACACATTCAGGGGAATAATTTAATTCACCTCATCATTATTCCTCCTCTTGGGTCCTAGATTCTTCTGGTTCTTTGGATTCAATGAGCTCCAATTCCCGGTCATTCTCGGTGTCATCTCAAGGTGCAAACGTGACCGCCAGTTCGGACGCAGTCTCTTTACGTTCTGCCGGACATTTCACACCCGGATTTCCGAACGTGTCCTCGTCTATGGGTGCTTCAGTGGAGAACAATAGTGTGTTGTTCACCATGGGTGATGCTGCACTGACTTGTGGAATGATCAATCCGGCAGTCACACATTCCGCGGCTGGCAGCAGTAGCAGTGGACGTGGAAGTAGTTGCACTACGCACAGTGGCCATGGGGTTAACGGCAGCGGAAACGGAGTAGTCGGTGGCGTTTGTGGCAACGCGACTCACGGTCTAAGTTCGGCAAGTTTGGTTGAGCTAATGTCCAATCGGAACAATGCCTGTCACGGTCGTCGTACTAGTACCGGTGGAGCAGTGTACTTGGGTGGTCCCGGTTCAATGCATCCGTTTGCTGGTGGTGGTCGAGCAAGTGGCTCGACGATTCCTGAAATTTCCCCTGCTCTGACTGGTCATGAGTGTTCGGATGTGACACATTACGGTTCCGGTTCAATGGCTTCCACAAATACCGGCACATTGACAAATGGTCATTTCATGTCTCAAGGTCGTTTCCTACGGGAGCACGAAACCGGATGCGGTGTGACCGAATGTCATAATACCCAAACCACCGGGTCCGCACCAATCCTTCCGAGGACATCCGCGGTCAGTGTGAGTGAGCTCAGTAGCGATCGGTAAGTATATTGTGGCATGGTATTCAACTCATAGACAATCAGTTGTTATTGCTTTTTCTCTTTCAATCAGTCATTGTTTTTCTAGTTCCGCTTTCGTGTTTTATTCTCCGCTGAAACCGACTCTGAGCTATCAGCACTTTTTCTCTCGAGTTCACCACGAAAAGTGATCGTCATCAGGGTTGTCCTCTCGTTCCGTTTCTATTTAACTTCGTGATAGATGTAATTCTTGAACCAACCCTATCCTCGTGCGAGGATAGCGGTATCCATTTACTCCCAGGTGGCAGACTGTCTGATCTGAAGTATGCAGGCGATACTGTGCTTAAAAGTGAAGATACGGGTAAGTTGCAAGCTCTTCTGTACAGTTTGAGTGTTAATGTATCTATGTTTAGAATGCGTCTTGCACCTTCAAAGTGTAAAATGTTACTACGAGACTGGGTTGGTCCAGCACCCAGACTCACTCCAACTGGGGAAGTAATAGAGTAGGTGGATAAGTTTTGTTATCTGGGCAACTACATCTCACCCGGTGGACGCATCACTGATGTGTCAGCTCGCATACAGAAGGTTCGATTGACATTTGCCAATTTGAGACATCTGTGGCGCCGTCGCGTCATCCGGCTGTCTATGAAAGGTCGAGTGTATGCTGCGACAGTTCGGCCAGTTCTGCTATGCGGCGCACAAATTTGTTCATTACGGGAACAGGATAAAGATAGATGGTCGCCTACTTCAACTCTGTGCAGACCACGGATTGTTCCTGTCAAGCACCAACTTCTCGCACAAGAAACGACACCGCCTTACATGGAAACCGTCAACATCTTCACAGCGCTAGACCAAAATCGACCACATCGCTGGAGGGGATCAATTCAAGATTTTTTTTTATTACACGAAAGTGAATACAGTAAAAGGGGTAAACCCCATG